TATGATCTGGTTGAACTGTAAAGTGCCTTGAGATGACATGTGTTGTGAATTGGCGCTATATAAATAAACTGAATTGAATTGAATTACTGGCACTACTTTGTCTCCGGTACTTAACAGGGTTTTTCTCAGCGCTGGTGGCTTGGTAACAGTAGGGACATTTTTTTACATCTTTGCTAGAGAAGGGGAACATTTGAGACGTCATGTCCAACAATCTGAACTATCCCTTTCAGGTAAAGGAATTCCCAACCATGTATTGAAGATTGACACAAAATTTTTCACAGTATTCAAATTGTTTTTGTGAGTTGTATGAACTGTTTGTCAGGAGTCCTGTCTTTGTGTTTCTGTGTTTGTCTCCCTTGATCCACCAGGAGGCGCCTGGTTCTGGTCCACCTCCTCACACACCTGCTGATGGTTTCCTCATTAAACGGAGTGTTCTTAAGCTGCTAACTGCCACTACCTCGACACCAGAGTGTTTGCCAGTTGTGGGTACTCTAACCAAGCTGAGTTTTGCTGAGTCAAGCCAAGCTTTTGTCAACCTGAGTTTAACTTTGTTTTTGTCTTTGCCTCTTGGCAGGAAGTCATCCTGCAAGCTGGTTTTCTCGGACCTTCTCTCCTTGGCGAGCTTCAACTGAGCTGCGGTTCAGACAGGAAGTTTGGATCCACCTTCCCCAAGAGATGGTTTGAGCTTTGCATTGAGAAAGGGATTATTCTTTCTCAGTTTCTCCATTCCCCAACTAACAACCGCATTCTGGGTCTCCCCTGTTCCGCCCTCCACCGAATCAGGCAAACACTGGAACTACAGCACATAGACAGGAGTCAAGGATTCAACAACTTCTCTGGAAACGTGAGTCGGCAACCAAATCCTCTTCTCCAAGTTCACGAGTCAAATTCCCCACTGAGCCTGAACTAACCGCTGTGTCTTCCCCTCACTTTTCAGTTCCGGTTGAGCAGTGTTCAGAGCAACACTTCTCCCTCTGTTTAACTTCTTCAATAAAACCCGTTAAACCTTTTCCCTGGTCTCTCTGTTTTGGTTTTCTGCATTTGGGTCTGAACTTTGTAAAATCATGACACTGTATATAAAATAAACAATACATTTAAATCATTTGAATTGTAAGCCTAAAATATCTATAAACTTTGAAAATCTGACTTTTTGAAAAGAATTATGGAAGTTAAACATGTTTTCCATAATATTTACATTTCTTGGAGAGGGTCTGTATGCATAAGGCTTTTTTTCTGATTCTGATTCTCTTAAGAACTTAAAATTCACAGTTTAGAATAGATTATTTACAAATACACTGAGTGTAAATCTGCTCAAGTGTTAGTTAGTGAAGAATTTGACAGCCATGCAGTGTAACTTTTACTCTATTTGTTGTCAATAACCACCAGTCTCTGAGAGGTCTTTTTGGTTTTGACACAAAAAATAGTAAAATTAACTACTTAATACTAGTCATAGAATAAATGTTATACTAATTTTGAGTGGGACCAAATGTTATCTAAAACAGAGTTATATTAAACTCCATAGGTGTTAAAGTAACATAAATGTTTTTACTGTGTATAATATGATCTTTGGCCAGTGGATTAGGTAGATGGTCTTGTATTGGAGGGTTTGTGGTTTGCCCTATCTCTGGTGATGAGAGGGTGAGAGGGTTGTTGGATCATAACACACATTTAAAGGTTTAAAGACTTAAATATTTTCAAAGCACTGTGCAGAGTGCTTCTTTTTTAAAAGTGGTCTGTAGATTTTTATCAGCATCATTTAATCTTTATTTATATAGGATCCCAGTAAAAAAAAAAAACATTCAGTAGAAATAGAATAATAAATAGTAATTGCACAAAAGATTATTTCTCATATTGATGGTTGTCACTGGATTTCTGCTGCCATGCCCAGGTCAGGTGAATCCTCAAAGTGGACCTTGTAGTCTCCCTCTTGCTCCTCAAACACAATGACCTAGTTTATCCGAAGAGAAAAATAGGACAATAAATATTTGCTCTGTTTTCTGTTTGATGATTTTATGTCCACTACAAAAAAACAACAAAGCCTTCCAGAATGTGAATTATAATAATTTTACATAACGGTAGAGGGTTGGAGAATCTGGCTCTTTAATAATTATGAATGCAAATTAAGTGTAGGAATAAATATTAGGTAACACTGTTTACATTTAGTTATGCAGGCACTATAATTATGAAACACCTTACAATAAGAAAATTAAGAAAGAAAGTTAATAGTTTTTATTGAAATTATTTTTGGATGCTTTTATCAATATCAATTAAGTCAATCAAAAAAAAAAATCTATCAATATACTCAGGCTGAAACTTTGTGGGGGTTTTTTTAGCATATGTGTTCGATAGAATTCACCTTATTTCCTTTTATTGTTATACGTATTTGGAGCTTGTCTGCCTGGCTGTGTGTTTCCTGGACAGGGCCGCCTGTGGAGCTGGTTTACAGTTGCCTTTTGTGTCTCTGTTTGCGTCTCCTTGATCCCCAGTCGGCCTCAGCAGATGGCCGCTCACACTGAGCCCGGTTCTGCTGGAGGTTTCTTCCTGTTAAAAGGGTGTTTTTCCTCTCCACTGTCGCAACCAGCATGCTTAGTGTGAGAGATTGCCTTCGAGTCAATGAGTCGGTGCAATCAACTGGTTTTCCTTAGATAGAAAACTAAATCAATTTGACGAGATGATCTGGTTGAACTGTAAAGTGCCTTGAGATGAAATGTATTGTGAATTGGTGCTATATAAATAAGCCGAATTGAATTACATTGAAATTTTTTGTTATTAGCAAAACTATCACTTTCATAGATAAGAAAAACTTTATTCTTTATCAGCCACTAAACACAGTTGTTAATGCCCCTGGATGTTATAAAGAATAACTGTAACTGCAAAATATTTAAATTCTTTTACTATTTTTGTTTATGATGCTGCTATAGTCTTAAGCCGCTGGATTAATGGTCTCCATTCGCTAATTCTGAAGTATTTGTTCAACTCAACTCAAACTGTTAGTTAGTTGTTAGTTAAACCCCTAACTGTATGTGTTCTCTTTCAATCCTTTTGATATAAAAACCGGCTCATAGCTCATCTGCTTAACTGTTTCTTTCTTAGACAGAGCCTCATTTGGAACTAGCTTACGTTACCTTTTCTGACAAACAAAGGATTTCTAGATTAGTCCTTCTATGTTCCTCTTGTATGTCTACTGCTGTCTCCTTGAACCCCCGGTCAGCCTCAGCACAAGCCCTCTCACATTAAGCCTGGTTCTGCTGGAGGTTTGTTATGGTTAAAAGGGATTTTTTGCAATCCACTCTTGCTGCATCCATGCTCAGCATGAGGGATTGCTGCAGAGTAAACTACAAAATATTAATATCAGCTGTCACTACATGTTCATTCAGAGGGAGCGAATTATGCACTGTCACTGAGTCACTACAATCAGCTAGGTCTCTTTAGATAAAAAGAATTTAATCAATCTGACTATATAATCTGATTTGTCTTTGTAAAGTTCCTTGAGACAACATGTGTTTTAAAGTGGGGCTTTAGAAATAAATTAAATTTTAAGTTGATGAGAGTTTGTTGCAATTTCTAATTAGTAGTTATTCAAGTTCTGTTTCTATGGTTTGATGCCACACAGACATCCATCTCTTTTTCCTACAGGTCTCTTAACTGGCCAACAAAACCCTTATTTATATGGCCACTTCATGCAGTGAGTAAAAATGTTATGGGAGTAAAATAGGGCTACAAGTAAAGATAATCTAAAAAGACAACTAATTATTTCAGACATTTTTTAAGCACAGTATAATCTTCATCTTTAAATTCTGTTCTCAGTTGCTTTTAAAATATTTTATATCACTTCTAATCTACACACCCTTAAATTTTAACCCTTTGGTGCATCTTCTTACTGTCCCTAATTTATTCCCTTTATAAATAAAAGTCTGTCAAATATATATTTGAAATTTAACTGATCCAATTTATATGGCATTGCATCTAAATATAAATGTAGTTATTTACTTTTAAATGTCAAATAAAGCTTAAAATATATCTAAATACAAAAGCTTTCCACCTTCTTACATTTAATAATGCCTCATGTTTCAAGGGTTTCAAATTATACCCCACTCCCATGCTTTGAGTGGCGACCTAGTGGTTAGGGCATTGCGCTTGGAATCCTGAGGTTCTGAGTTCGAGCCCCGCACCCACGGACTGCCACGCTGGCTCCCTGAGCAAGAGCCTTAACCCCACGCTGCTTTCTGGGCGCTGCACAATGGCAGCCCACTGCTCCCCAAGGGGATGAGTTAATTGCAGAGAGTTAATTTCGTTGCTCTGTACTTGTGACAGTGTAATGACAATAAAATGCCGGAAAATTCCCACAGGCAATAAAACATTTTAAACCGTGGAACTATCGGCTTGGAGTGGTAGTGGGATTGGCTCACCGGCGTCGACCCGTCTCAAAAAACTCTGCAAGCGACCCAGGTTAATTGCTTTCAATCAGGTCAGCTCTGACTGGCAAACAGTGGGAACATCAGACCCGGTAATTTATGATACAATTGCAACAGACTGACGTCAACACACCACTCACATCAGATCTAATAAGCCAAAGCAACTCTGTTTACATTCGATAAACATGACACAGCTCTGTTAAGAGGGATTCGGATGGACAAATGAATGAAATAAAGCAAACTGGCTCCCTTGGATTTCGCTCTCAAATTTCCTCATTTCTGTCACACTGGTGACATCATCAATACTACCCAAGATGGATGGCGTCACCACACACCCAGCTTTAGGGGCACAGATGCCATGCAGTTTGCCATTGGGGGGTTTGACCCAGCGTTTTCATCAAAGCGTCTGGTTTACATGAAAAGTTTACAGGGGCCGACGTCAAGAGGTCCAGCTGTGCATAGAGAGCAGGGCATCCCGTGTTGGGGTTGATCAATAATTTAATTGACCAAGCAAATATTTTTAGCGTAACATTCCTGCTTTACTGCATAACATGATTCTAGAAATTAATTTTGTGTCAACATTAATGTAATGTAATTAATAACACTTAACTCACCTTTTGCTCTCTTTACCTTCAGCCTTTAATGCTTTGAGCCGCAGTGAATCAATTGATAGGGGGCTTTGGTCAGCAGGGAACTAATGTTACACTGCCATATGCAGTCAACATAGTGAACTGCATGTGATTTAAAATACAACTAAGGATTAAATATTGAGACGCAGAATTTTTAAAATCTTTTTAAACTACCCATTTATGCATTACATTTTGCATCAATATTGTTTGCTTATGCACGTGTCAATTCTTTCACTAATCATGCAGCCTAGAATAAAATGACTTCCAAACTTATGTTTTGAGGCCTACAGAAAGAAGAGGTATTCTAGGGGTCAATCAATAATGCGATATCTGAATACTATTTAGATGCCAACTGGTTGTTTACTTTGCAGGAAAGTTGGTTGGAACCATTTACTTTGGACAAAATTGTCATTGAAACATTCCCAGAATCGGTCTGGTTAAGAATCTGTGATGGGATGCGCTGTTTTGTGTTGATAACCTCTCCAGATTGCACCCCGAAATGTTAAATGGTCCAGCATCTCTCTATCAATTTGCCGCAATCTTTTGAAATATTCTGGGGAAGAATCAATGTAAAAGGGATCTGTCCAAATTAACAACAGTTTCAACAGTTGTGACAAGTAATTTTTT